TTACTTTTTTTTTTTGGTAAATTCACACATTTTTTGACAAGCCCACGAGCTCATAAAAATGGAGCCCCTTGCTTAGTTCGGGCTCGTCAAATCCACCTACGAGCCGAGCGATCAAGCTGATGAGCCGCTCAGCCCATTTGACATCCCATGGCTAACTAACGTGTGCACCCAATCGTAGTCTATACAATTTGTACATTTAAGTTAACCAACTCGACAACCTGTGTAGGCGGAGGTGGAGGTGGAGGAGGTGGGGGTGTTGGAGGAGGATCAGGCCATGGTGGCGGGTTCGGTGCAGGTGGAGGTGTTGGGGTTGGTGGGGGTGTTGGTGGAGGAGGAGGAGGTGGTGGTGGTGGAGGAGGTGGCGGGGGAGGAGGAGGTTTAGGTGGTGGGTCAGGACACGGGGGTGGCTTTGGAGCTGGTGGAGGTTTAGGGGGTGGCCATGGAGGTGGAGCTGGTGGAGGCATTGGAATCGGCGTCGGAATCGGCATAGGAACAGGCCATGGCTCCGGCAGTGGCTCTGGAAGCGGAGGAGGACATTGAAGATCTTCTTGGCTACAAACACAACATCGTTTTAAGACAGAATCCAACCAAAATAATTGTGTTATTTTCTTTCCAAATTGTGAAAACAAATGTGATGAAAACTTGTATTGTTCCAATTGAGGACTCAAATTTTCTAACAATCTTTTTAATGTTTTTGTATTATGAATTCAAGTTTATAGCATTTCAATCACTTTGTTGTTTAATAATAACAAAAGTCAAAATTAAGTCAACTGCATTTGATTTTATTACTTCATCATCGATCGCTGCTAACGAGGCGTCACATCTATTAATTCTTGTCTCCAACAATAGTAATATATCACGTAGCACTTTTCCAAATGGAATCAACAAATCTAAATTTCAACAAATAAATCTAATAAAAACAACTTCCGAAATACACAATAAACCACTAAACAAAAATGGATTATCTGCTTCATACTTTGATAATACTAACATACCTCATGCCCTTTTTGAGATGAGATGTGGTATAGTGAACTTCTAAATACTTGGGAGGGATAATTAATTACCCAATCCTGCTACTTGTACAGGGCTGGTTGACAAAGTTTTTGACAAAATGCCAATAAAAGAAAGCATACAGCAACCAGCCAATGCAGCGGTGCCAAAAATTCTTGTATAAGGAGCTTAATTCTTAATCATCTATGAAACCCATAAAATTTTTCCATAGTCTCCATATTGAGGTGTTACTGGGGATGAGAACGGGCGTTTCCCTCCTTCCATCCTCTTTGGTGTGCTCTCAGCTCCCACATAGCAGACAACCTTTTTTGTGCCAATAGAGTTGCTTCTGCTTTTTCTCTAGCCTCTTCACATGTCTCCATCCCGGAATTGCACTTGTCTGCCTCTTTCTGGTATTGGGATGTCATCTTTTTAGCCTCGAGTAGTGCCATATCACCGCGCTGCTGATTTTCCAAAGCTTCAGCTTCTCGTAGTTTTAATTCCTCTGATAATAGCTCCGCAAAGTTCTTTTGAGTATCTTCGCTCACATCAGGATCATGCTTTGCACAATCTGTACAACATGACAAAAGGAATAAATGGGTGTGCATTTAATGCACAGACATAATTTGAAAAGTCCAGGTAGTCTTGTATCTTCAAGTTATCAAGAGCAAAAATGACATTTTCATAGATAGAAAAAGGAAATGCATAAACAGGATAGCACTTTTGTTGGCACCATTGAACACAGATAAATTAGCAACAAGATAACGATAGTTCCCCAGTTCGTAAGAGAATCTCTGCCCAATTTCAACATTTTACACTTCTATTATTCAATTGACTTCTATATAATCCCTGCATTCACTAAAAGCCTCGTTATAAAATGCACAACTTTTTATCAGCAGTGATTTGCTTAATTTTCATTTCATCTTTGACCCCCTAGACTGTTAAATAAGTACCTCTCCGGAAACACCGGATCCTGGCCAGAGAAATACTCTTTAGATGAAAAGAAAGGGATAAGCCAGAAACTTTGTGGTCCACATGATTAGAAAAGAATAAAAATGACACTTTTGAGGGGCAAAAAATTCAGGATCATGTGACAAAGCATTTGTAGACCAAGATTTTTTTTCTCACAGCAAAACAGCTGGTGACTCTTGACAATGCTTGTGATAACTGTGAGAGGATATAAAACGAACACTTGAGACAAAATGCTTCAAACTTTTAGCTCATTTTACAGAACATCACAAAATGCAAAGTGTTGCAATAAAAAATTGGACAAAAGGATGCTTTGTATCAAGTAACATACTATGCTTATCATTACTCATTGGACTAAGCCTGATCAGAATTCAGAAAGGACCATATTTTATTTATTTCTTTAGTCAACAAAGTTGAAGTTTAAGCCTGTTAGGAAAATTTCAGATACCACTTCCTAAAGCAATTAATGCAACCTGGAAAAAGCAGTTTTAGCACACATGATCCTAGAACTTTCAAGCTGTTCAGAATAGAAACATCCAATCATACATAGGAAGAACCTTTAAACTTTATCAATCAATGGAATTAATGTAATCAAATAGAGCTAATGTAGGAATTCATAAATTAAATAAGCTATTTCTGGCTATATGGCATTAGGCATAACCAGATCTCGATTTTAAATTGATGTGATTGACAACTCGTTTTTATAGTCAGGTATACTTTGGTTGCCTCCAATTTCTAGGAAACTACAGTATAACAGTAAGTTCAAGTTATCATCCGGTAAAAACAATGAGAATTTACTCTTCAAAATGTCCATTACAATAATGCCTCACAGGGTTATGCAGAGTTGACTGGTTAGGCAACAAAACTTGAAAACAATAACAAATAAGGCGAACTAAGTTCCTAAGATAAGGTTAAGATAAAAGAGTGAGGATATTACTCAGAAGCACTATATGGATCAGTTTCGTCTAGGATTAAACTCATTCAAAAAAATAAAAAAGCACCATACTGGATCACTAACAAGAGCAGGTGCTCATGGCAACTCAAACTATTTAAATAGAAAAAGGTGCTCACCTGCAAAGGACATATTGCTCAGATCTGCAAGAGAGAACAAAAAAAGGAAAAGTAATTAGCAAAAGCAAGATTTTGACAAGAACACCAGATGAAACTAGAAGAAGGATATTCATGTGTACATTGAGCCTAGGCCCTATTAGATACATGAGTATCGGAGAAAAGAAATAAAATACATAATACTTAAAACTATGAGAAAAAGGAAAGGTAAATATACTGGCAAGAACTATACATGCTATTGAGACAAGGGTTGTAGCGTGTTTACAAAATCAAAATGAAAAATCTGTCATAAGGTGTTATTTTCATGTCAAAATGTCTGCAAATTAAAGACCAGAACACTAACATGACCAACCAATAAAGAAATCAAACAGAGACAACCCAACAATACATGAACCAGGTTACCTTGCACAAACAAAATGTGAACTACTAACATAAGTATAACCATGTGCAACTTGCTAGTTAATACTCCCTTAATTTTGGACTGCATGTCATCAGTTAAACTCACATGGAGTTTTAGTAGTAGCTTGAAAGATGAGTATTGGGTACAAGTTCAATTTTTCATCCCAAAACTATTGGGCAACAGTATTAGTCAATAACTTCCCATAATTTAGAGTATTGTCGGAAGAAAATGTCTATATAGGAAACAAAACAATATTTCTAGACATATTAGAAAGGATGTATTGTGAGATCATTCAATTCCAAACAGAGGACTGATTTTGTTGTTTTATTCCAGATTCCTCTCGAAAACATTTAACTAATTTATGTTATATCGAGCTAAGAATCTAGTCAACTAAAAAATTCTCTGCTCAAGTATGCAGATAAATAGCCTAATATGAATAATTCACCAAATAACCATCCCCTATAGATATTCCACTAGTGATAAACAAAATTCTTGCACTGAAGAATGGGTATGCAGCATTGACATAAAACTAAAATTAGTATCCAGAGGACTTTCTCCAGTGACAAGTTTTTCCTGACTTCTTGACGTCTGCGTGAACATTTAAGGAAGTTAAAACTTTACAGCTTTATAGGTCATTATTATATATCCTTGATGGGTATATACTATTAAATAAACACCACATCCTTGACAATGCTATACTCGGCAATTTGCATGTACCCAACATGATCATACTGGATAAACAACTCTTTTAATTTTACAAATTAACTATCATTTATAGAAAGATATAACCTAAAATTTTGAAGCAACCTACTTGTTAGAGGTTTCATTAAAGTCCAGCTAAACAGCATAACAAGTTAGGAAAAACTGTAAGTGCTGCATTTTTGGCCAAAATAGAGGAATTTCTCAATTAGCATAGTATTGGCAATTCCATAATTAGAAGGGGAAGAAATTGAATAGAAAGAGAACTGCTGAAAGTTTCAGTATTAACAAATGAACAGCAAGTAGAAAGCTCCAGAAGTGATTTTTTATTATATCAACTACTTAAAATCTTGAAACAGTATAGGCAGCATGTCCCTTTCCCTTAGATCCTATGTTCACCTAAAACCACCAACCAATACGAGGAATAAAAATTTGAATTGAAATACATAATTATATCTTCCTACAACGAAATTAAATTTAGAATTTTTACAAAATAAATTTTAAAAAATGCACAGCTAACATCAAGAAGCATTAAAAGGAAGTAAAATTATTTCTTTCCTAGCTTTTCTAGTAATTCTATTTGCCACTAAACAAATAAATAGTTTTGTGTATTTTCTTCTTCTCCCAGTCCTCTAACTCCAAACAGAACCAGCAATTCTACATGAAACACTTAGCCCCTGTTTGGCCCCCATTTTCTAAACTCAAATTTTGGCACATTTTACCATGGACCTATGAATAATAAAATATATAATATGAAAGAATTGATCATGAATTTCTAATAGTTGATGAACACTGAACACATCCCCGAGTAAGAAGCAACCTTCAGCTAAATTTGCATCTTCGTTCATTAGTTTCCAATTGTGTAATGACGGGGAAAAATGATGCTGGTATTGAGCAAATTGCCAATTCCATAGAACCAGATCGTCAATTATGTAAAGTAACAATTAACCATCAAAGATCAAAGCAGATCCAAGTACAGATTTGATCGTATGTATGTATACCTTTCGGAATGGTGAGAAGGGGCACAGAGCCACATTCACAAATGCAAGAAGGGCAAGAGGAGGTGGAAGAAGAGCGGCTGACAGAAGCTATGCCTTCCAACAAGTGCCAATATAGAGGTGGACCTACTATGTAACCTGCCAGGCACAATGCCATCAACCCCACCACAGCTTTCAAAACCCTAGTTTTCACTGCCATTTTTGACAAAATTCTCTATATGTGCAGTAAGAGCAGTGAGATCAGAATGTGGAAAGCACGGAGGGATTACAATTTCACCGACGGAAGCCCAGCCATGATTGATCTCAACTCGGTCACTTAGTCGCATAGAAGTTTCATTTTAGTCCCCCAACTTCTAATTATTCCAATTGAATCACAAACTTACGAGGTTAAAACCCCAAATGGTCACTCAACTTTGCCCGAAGCTCCCCAGGAGGTCACTTAACTTCAAAACGTTCCTAAGTAGTCACTGAACTTTGTCCAAAATCCCCCAAGAAGTCATCGAACTTCAAAACGTTCTTAACTAATTACCGAGCTTTGCAAAAAGTTTCTAGCAGGTCACTGAAATTTGGAAATTGGGACCCCATTCATCTTTGCAAAGTTCAATAATTTACAAACTTCAGTGATCCCCTAAGAACTTTTTGCAAAGTTCAATGACCATTTAGGGACGTTTTGAAGTTCGGTGATCTCTTGGGGGACTTCAAGCTAAGTTCAGTGATTACTTAGGAATGGTTTGAAGTTCGTTGACCTCCTTGGGGACTTTGGGCAAAGTTCGGTGACCATTTGGGATTTTTTCTCCAAACTAACATTTTCATTTTTTCTTTTTGTTTTTTTTTTTTCAACATGTCCTAAGTGTGAAATTATGTACCAATTCTTTAATTTGTGTATACTTCAAAATAGTAAATATTCAAAGACGATGAAGATTATTTTTGAATAATTGTCCCCCACAATAATTCATCAGTACCTATCATGTAATCCTTTTATAGTCCATTTGTATTCTAGACATCTCCCATTGATTTTTGAATACCATGGACATAATGTTCTAAGAGTGGACATGGATGACACAATCTAAAAGTTGGGGACATGGATTTAACACTTGGAAAAGATTGGAAACCTATATAGGAATTTACGTTATAGTTTAACACTTGTAACAAGTTAGTTACCTCTGGCCACCACCATACTGCATCTTCAGACCATTGTACCGCCAGCCCATCTTACCACCACAACCTTTTATTGCAAATATGGATGACATTGTAAATATGGATGTGCTTTCGTACTATGGGTGTGTACAAGCATAGTCATACTTATAATTTGTTAGTGTGTGTCAAAAATGTTATACGTAACAATGAATGAAAACCTTGCATCAATTTGAAATTAGTTTACTGAAAGTAGTTCTAACATTGTGATGGGTTGTTGCAGGAAAAGAAAATATTTAAGATATGGATGACATTATTTCGATAGACTCCAATAATGAGAATGTTACAGACAATATGAAGTTACAAGGCAATATAATGTTAAGAGGAGATGGTACGATTGTGCCTGAGATAGGCATGAAGTTTAAGGATGGGAATGGCATTTTTGAGTTTTAAAAAAGATATGTGTACGATGTAGGTTTCCTAATTCTAAAAATGACTTCAAGAAAGAGTGATGATATGAGATATGTTATATTCGTTTGTAGCCATGAAGGGAAAAGATTTACTAATATCAGGGGTTTTCTTAAAACCATAAGCAACCATTTAGAGTGCATATAAAGGTAGGCTGACTGTACATTTAGACATGCGTGGGATTTGGGGAATTAACACAATGCATCCCAACCACAATCATAAAAATAGTCCTTCAATATAAATGCAACTGAAAATTGACTGCACTTGTTAAATGACGACTTGAAGTAAATGATATGGCGAGAATTTCGTTGTACAAAAGTTAAAACTCTACAATTGTTGAAGTAGGTGGATATGATAAAATGACTTATGTGAAAAAGGATTGTCAAAATTATGGGGAAAAGTCTAGGCAATTATGATTGGAGAAGAAGATGTCATAGTAATACAATCATACTTCTTTAATATGCAAGCACAGGGCTCAGTGTTTTATTTTAGTATGGATTTGGATGAAGAATATCGATTGAAGAATGTTTTTTGGGCAGATAATAGGAGTAGACAAGTATATAAGGAATTCGGTGATGTTGTCACCTCTGATACCACGTATCTCACTAACAAGTATGACATGCCTTTTGTTGAGGCGAATCATCATAGACAATCAACATTCTTTGGATGTGGTTTGGTGTCGAATGAGGATACAGATACATTTTTCTGGATGTTAAGAACATGGCTACAATGCACGCATGTCAAGCTTTGAATGAGATAATTACTGATCAAGATAGGGTCATGCATAATGTAATTCAAATCGTCTTTGCCAATACGAAGCATAGATGTTGTTTGTGACATATTGAAAATGTTGCTAGAAAAGTTTAGATATATGTGGACAAAAGTTCTATTTTTTCCTATTATACATAGATTGGTGTATGATTCATAAACTGTTAAAGAATTTGAGGATAATTAGAGAGTGATGATCGAATCATATAATTTTGCATGATAATGACTAGTTTGTCAGGACTGTATGAGAGCAGAGGTCATTGGGTTCCTTGCTAACTAAAAACTACTTTTTGGAAGGGCATGTCAACAACTCAACGAAGTGAAAGTATGAATGCATTCTTCGATAGATATGTACATTTGAAGACCTCGTTGAAGCAACTTGTTGGACAATACGAACGAGTATTGATAAATAAGGCTGAGAAAGAGCTTCAAACAGATTTCATCTCTTTATCTTGTGCAATGGTGTATGCGATGGTGAAACAATTCCAGAGAGTTTCCACAATTTCAAAGTTCAGGAAAGTTCAAGATGAGTTTACTTGTAAATTTTATTACGACCTCATATTTGTTTTGGAGATGGTGTACAAGGTATTCAAAATGATGAATTTTCTAAGAAAAAAACTTTTTCTGTGTCATTTTATCAAGAAAAATGTGAAATTATTTGCAACTGCCACTTATTCGATTTTTGAAGAATACTTTGCAAGCATGCGATCACAGTATTGATTCATAATAACGTCAAATCATTGTCAGATAGTTATATATTATACAGATGGTGAAGAGATGTGAGTAGAGCCTACACGAGGTTTACAATGAATTACGATAGATTGGTTAGTACTCCTGAACAGTTGAGGTATAACAAAATGTGTCAGTCTTTTGTTACTTTGACGGACATGACTGTAGATGATAAAGTCAGATCCAATACTATAATGGAGTGGATTGAAGTTTAGCGTAAACAAAAAATGACTTAAAATTCAAGTTGTGGGAATAATGTCATGTCCCCACATATTACTCAGATAGCTTCTAAGTGTGGAGAATCACAAGGAACTGGAAGCGGTAGCGTACGGGTACCGTATGTGCGAAGCAAAATGACATGCTTGAGAAACTTTGTAAGAAGAGCGCATTGGAATTCAGTTCGAATAAAGATAATGTATGTTTCAAATTTTTGTTACAAATTACATTAATTCTTAAATATATATAATGGATAATAAGACATTTTCTATAAAGGGTGGTTCGAATTCAAGCAAAGAAAAGAGATCGAAGGCACGCCCAAGTAATCTAGGAGACGGTGCACCTATCGTTCATGCAACTCAACAATTAATGTATTCCATGCGATACCATTATTATATTCTCATCTCCTAATGATTAGCATGTTCTCATTATTTACTTTCCTAGGTACATTATCATTGTACTGATATTGTTATTTCACATAGGGTGGGAACCAAAATCTTTAATTTACACAACACTACAATCCTCAACTTTCATCGATTTGTTTTCGGGAAATGCTATATTCAATCCTCAAGGTAATAAAGTGGTCAAATATATGTATTTGTAATCCTCAATCTTTGTAGTTTGTGTATTAATTGTCTGTTCGGTAGTGATTATGAGAATTGATTTTTTGACTGTTAGAGAAAAAAGTAGATCCCACCTGTGAGTGAAAAAGTAAAAAATGATGGCTGAAATAGTGAAATAACGGTAAAAAATTGCTACCAAACGGAGGCTAAAGTTCTATTTCATAATGTACAATATGTAACCCAATGTCGTACTACTATTAAAGGAACCAGACCAGAATAGAAAAAAACCTATGATAGCGAATGAACAAAAATTTCACATAGGTTGAAGAAATGACAAATGATAAGAGAAGTTGCAATAGATAATCTCTACTTGCCTTGCTAGTATATAGATTTCGAAATATTTTTCACGTGATATATAAATGTTGAGGTTTTTGTTGTGTTGTGTCTACATTGACTTTGAAAGAATTTATAATAGATAAGTTTTATGACTTTTGATGAAAAAATGTATAATTTTTATGTAGGTAATAGAATCCATATGGAAATCATACTTAAATAGATTAAAAATTCTTAAACTCATAACTTTCTCACAGTATGTATGAATTGTTGGCTTCTTCTTGCGCTTTCTTTTTGTATACTTCTTTACCTCACTTTGGAGAATCATTTGGACTGTCTTCCCCAACGGCCACCTGCCTAGCGGTATTATTTAGTCCCATTGATTCTGTAAAAATTCATACATAGTTTGTATATAGAAAATGAACCAGACAAGAATAGTAAAAAAAGTATGATAGCGAATGAACAAAAATTTCACATAGGTTGATGAAATGACAAATGATAAGAGAAGTTGCAATAGATCATCTCTACTTGCCCTGCTAGTACATAGATTTCGAAATATTTGTCGTGTGATATATAAATGTTGAGGTTTCTGTTGTGTTGTGTCTACATTGAGTTTGAAAGAATTTATAACTTGTTGGTAAATTTATGGTCTTCCATTATTGATATTAATGTTTTTGTTTGAATGTTTGAAAATATCTAGTTTTTTCTTTGTTTATGGAATGTACGCTTTACATTTTATGCTTTCTAGGGATTTGTGACTGCAATATTTATGTATGACTTGATTTTTTATACCCAATTCGTGTCCAAAACAGTCTTTTTTAAACTGTTCAATATTAGTCCGATTCCTATGAATTAACAAACACATGTTATTGCATATAAAAACACTTCAATGCAAATGGCAAGAAGAAATGGAGTGGTTAGAGAGAGGTGCTTTCAAGCCTAGTGAGAGAAAATTCCACTTGGTTGCCCACTTGCTTTGAGATTTGTTGTTTTCTTGCTTTGATTTCACCTTCTTTTTTGGTATTTTCAAGTTTCTAATTCTGGTTTCTTGAAGTTTACTACAAGATATTGTGGTATATTGTTAGATATTATAGATTTGCGGGTGGTACTGTCGGCCATTTTCAGTTCACTGTCCGTTTGGTGCTGCTTTGGACATTTCAGCCCAAATAGCCTTGGTGTTCTCTGCATTTTCAACGTGTTCTTGTCTGTTTAGCTGAATTTTTACCAGTATTTGGGGTGGCTCGTTCTACTAAGGATTGCTTTCAGACTTGGTTGGAGTTACACAATTTTAACTTGGTTTCCTGTTCAACAGTTTTTAGTGGTCGGCTTTCATCCGATTTTGGCAGATTGGTGGTCTTCTAGTCCGTTCAACTGGTCAGTTCTGAGTATTTTTAGCCACTTCAAATCCTGTTGAGATGGTGGATGCTTCATCTCCATGGTTGCTGGTTATAAGGATTTTGTATCTATTGTGTATCTAATGGTGATGATATATTTCAATGGCTACAATTTGAATTAAAGTTGGTGGATCATGTGTTTCTGGTTTGCTGGATTTTTGCTTTGGCAGTTGGTCAAAAGAGCTTACAACTTTCAGTTTCCATTTTGGGTAAAAAACTCAAATTTGTACTTTGCCAACTTTACTATATTATAAATTATTTTGTTGGTTTCTACTAGTGGACCGTCCATCCACTTGGGCCTGTTGAATTTATGGGTAAGAGTCGAAAAAAAAAAACTTGGTCCATCTTAATGGGATGCCTCCACTTAAGATTAATGATGCTTCAGGTTGTCCAAAATTCTGTTGCTAGGCAGAATATTAATGATTCTCAGGACAACAATAGTGAAGTTAACAAGGTAGCGCATGGATAGAACAGTGCATTGGGGGATGACTTCGGTAGGGAGAATTTGACTTCACCATGTGTCTCCTAAACACTTTGGCCTGATGACACTGATTCACGCAGCCCGGTAAGTGAACCCCATGAGGCTAGGAAGGAAGAAATTGAACCAAATTGCTACCACTGCTTCTTGGGTCAATCTTTTTAAGGATAATGAGAATATTGAAGAAGGACTAAAATTACACCAGGTGGATGGCCAGCCTAATAAAATTATCTTGGATGCAAATGATGCGGAGCAATCATGGGGTTTTTGGCTTGTTGGATACTTTGTTGGGAGATTCCCGGGTAAAAATGCATTGTTGCAAATGTGCGATTCATGGAAGGTTCCATACCAATACTTTGTTTATGAGAGTAGATGGTTGATTTTCAAATTCATTCTAGAGCAAAGGTGTTACATAGAGGCCTATACCTTGTATTTGGTAGGCCGTTAATGTTAAAGACTATGCTGCGGTGGTTTGAATTCTATAATGATAATGTGTACATGTTAGTATGGGTCAAATTACCGAGACTTCCTTTAGATTGTTGGAATCCTAGGGCATTGGCGAAAATTGCTTCAAAGATTGGGAATCCAATATCTACGGATAAACTCATGTCAAATAAAGAAAGATTATCACATGCTTGGGTTTTAGTGGAGGTTGATGCATCCAAAGACTTGGTTCGATCCATGGAAATGACTTTACCCAAGGGTAAATATAGATTTCAACAAGTGATTTATGAACACGAGCCAAAATCTTGTGGTAATTGCATGACGCTTGTACATCAGACAGATTCGTGCAGCTTCATAAAACAAACTGGAAAAAATAATTCTAAGCAAAATGTGACACAGAAAAATGGACAGCATGTTGGTGGAACTTCGGTCCAGGTTGCTGAGCCTAAAACTAAGTAGAATTTGGCCTAGAAAATGGATAGTTCATTGGGAAAATTTCGGTTCAATCCACTGCTGGTGTGGATGTCCAAAATGTTTAGCAACAGGTCAACTCAAAGAATATGCAACATGCCAAGTAGAATGAAGGACAATTCACTGAGGTTGTCACCAAGAAAAAAAGTTTAAACAAAGGACAACAAAGTGTGTGTATTACTCCAACCCGTATTGAGATGAATGATGCAACAAAATCAGGTGTGGACTGGGCATCAACCACTATTGGATTGACCCCTAAGGCAACAAACAATGAGAAACTTAAAGTTAAGCTTGAGGAGCAAAAGAGGGTTGTGGCCATAAAAGAAAAGAAGAAGGGTATTTCCCTTACTTCATCGTCGTGAAGATTTCGACGTGGAATATTAGAGAAATGAAACTCTTCCTAAAATAAAATGGGGTTCGAAGTTTCATGAAGCAACATGATATTGATGTTATGAGGATTTTGGAAATGAAGTTGGGAGAGCCAAAATTAAATCGGATTAAGTGGAATAAATTTGATGGATTGTCGAAACGAACAACTTCCACACGCATCGGGCTGGTTGGATTTTGGTTTTGTGAAACTCCGTGAAAGTTGATTTGGAGGTATTGGAGACTAAATCACAAGCTATTCATTGCTCCGCTACTTGCAAGGTAAGCTCACTTACTTTTCTTGTTAGCTTTGTCTATGCTTTCCATACTATTGTTAGTAGAAGACCGTTATGGAATAATATCATGGAATACGAATCCGATTGCTCTTTCCCTTGGTTAATCATGGGTGATTTCAACAATGTACTTAACTTTGATGAAAAATGTAATGGGGCGGATGTTACATCATACGAGGTTAAGGACTTTGAAAATTGTTGCCTAAATGTTGGAATTACGGATATGAGATCTATTGGATGTTTCTACACTTGGAGAAACGGCACGAAGTGGAGTAAACTTGATAGAGCCATGGTGAATGATGTTTGGATACAAGCTGATTTTAATTCTATTGCTGATTTTCTCCCTTCGGGATGTATTTTCGACCACTCACCATGCATTGTATCATTATTTGAGCATGAGGAAAACAAGAGGAAACCTTTTAGGTTCTTCAATATGTCGTCTAACCATGAAAATTTCCATGATGTAGTTCAAAATTATTGGGAGAAAGAGATTAGAGGTACAAAGCAATTCATTCTTTGTAAAAAGTTGCATAGTCTTAAAGGAGAGCTAAGGAAATTCAATGAGAAACATTTTTCACACATCTCCTCAAGGGCTAAAACAGCTACTTCGGTGTTGAAAACGGTACAATTGGAGTTGCAAGGAGACCCTCTTAGTATTGAACTTCAAGGTAAGGTGGCATCAACGAGGAAAATAGCCATGGATCTTTGTGAGGCGAAAATGAACTTTTATTATCAAAGGGCCAAACGTGAGTACTTAAAGAATAATGATAAGTGCACAAAGTTTTTCCATTCGATGGTCAAAAGGAACACAAAACGTAACTTCATTGCTACCGTGAGTAAAGGAGATGGAACGTATACTTCATCATTACAAGAAGTGGCCAATGAATTCCTTCATTTTTACAGTGATTTACTGGAAAAATCAGTCCAGGGAAAGCTATTGATGTTGACATCTTGAAGAATGGCTCCATGTTATTGGATGAGCACGCTATGGCACTAGTTCGGGATATTTCGGACCAAGAGATTAAGGATGCATTATTTTCTATTGGAGAAGATAAATCACCGAGTCCGAATGGATATACATCATGTTTTTTCAAAAAACCTTGGAGCATTGTTAAAAGTGATTTCATGGGAGCGGTTAAAGAATTCTTCAATTCTTGCTCACTCCTCAAGCAAACAAATCACACAGCTATTGCTTTAATTCGTAATGCAAGTCACTTTATTGGCGTAGGGGGTTTATAGAATCATTGCTTGTTGTAATGTATTCTATAAAGTTATCACAAAGATCCTTGCTTCTAGATTGAGGCCAATTCTTGGACATATTATTGATCAATCACAATTCACATTTGTAGAAGGTAGAAGAATGATGGAAAACATTTATCTTGCTCAAGAGCTCTTAAGGCATTATAATTATAAAAGAGTTGCATCTAGGTGCTTTCTTAAAGTTGATTTAAGAAGGCATATGATTCGGTAAATTGGGACTTCCTTAAAAGTGTGCTTGAAGGGCTTGAATTTTCAACAAAATTCATTGGATAGGTGATGGAATGTATCACGACACCTTCATACTCCATTGCATTAAATGGTTATTTCTATGGATTCATAAAAGGAAAGAAGGGGCTTTGTCAAGGTGATATGTTATCTCATTTCTTGTTTGTTATTTGTCTGAATATTTTTCAAGAATGTCGAAGGGAGCTACTGAAAATAGTGAATTCAATTTTCATCCTAAATGTGGCCCATTGAAGATTGCCCAGTTAGCATCTGCGGATGATTTGATGTTATTTGCTAGAGGGGATGCTATTTGGTATTCTAATGGAGCGTTTATCCAACTATGGAGAAAATGTCGGGACTAAAGATGAATGTAAACAAGTTGAACTTGTACATGGTGGGTGTTCATGGACAAGAGTTGGAGGATATTCTTCAACTAACAAATTTAGCCAAAGGATCTATGTCTTTCCATTACTTGGGTATCCCACTGCGGCAGGAAAACTTTAAATTAGCTCCTATTATGCACTTATCAACAAAATTAAGGACTTAGCATGGTCGAGGGCTACATTATCTTATACAGGGAGAGCAGAGCTACTAAGAGCCGTCCTACAAGGTGTTATATATTTTTGGCTTTCCATTCTACTTAGACCCATGGTTGCATCTCAGATTACTAGTCTATGCTGGAACTTTCTTTGGGATTCAAAAAAATCGTTGGTTGCTTTGACTAGTATTTGCTTACCGAAACATGAAGATGGGTTCGGATTCAGAGAAATTAAATATTGGAATTCGATGATCCTTGCAAAAACTCTTTGGAACATCCATAGTAAAAAAGATACTCTTTGGGTGAAGCGAAAATCTGATTTTCCTTGGTGGAAGGGACATTTGGGACTACACGGTAAGGAAAGATAACTCTCCACTACTTAAAAGACTGCTGAAAATTTGGGACATGTTTTCGCAGCTTCAACAACCAGTTCAGGCCACAATTGGCACTGTATAGCCTGATCTAGCAACTCAGGTTGTAATGGACAGATTGGCAGCACGTACAGCCGCAGATAGGTTCAGTGTGAAAGCAGCTTATGATTTTCTCAGGTAGAAGGGGACGAAGATTGCCTAGATAGAAACAATTTGGAATGCCTATGTCACCCCAAAACATGCTTTTATCCTTTGGTTAGGAGCTAAATCGAAGTTACTAATAAAGGACAAGTTGAAGCATTTGGAAATTGATCGAAGGTGCATTTTCTGTGGGATTACGGATGAGACTGAGCATCATCTGTTTTTCTCCCATCTAATCAATTTTGCTGTATGGGGACAAATCCGTGATTGGTTGGGCATTAGGCACTCAATGTCTACCTTACCTAGTGCATTGAAGTGGACTAAAAAAGAGGCTTGGAGAATGACTTGGCAAAGCAAAGCAAAGCGAATAGCTTTTGCAAGCATCGTTTACCACTTATGGATGGCACGTAACATGAGAAATTTTGAGGATTTAAGACCACAAATAGAAGGTATTGTTCGAAGGATCAAAATACACTTATACAAAGTTATGTTCTCTTTGTATCCGTATGTTTTGATTCAATTTGAGTCTTCTGCTTTGGGTATTTAGATCTTCTGTCTTCGTTCATTTTTTCATGTTGTTCACCCAGGTATGCTCGGTGTACTTGTACTTGTCTAAACCTTTGATTACTTATATATGATTTTTGATCTATAGTAATTCACATTTACCAATAAAAAAAACACTTCAATGCATCCAAATTACATAAACATTAACTACATAGTTAGGGATCCTAATGAAATTAATAATCCATATTCATACATAAGTGAATAAGACTTTCATTCATACACAAACTACAACTCTGGCTAGCCCTTTTACTTTCTTATCTCCTTTTGCACTAGCTCTTCCTACACATATCGTTTCGTTCAAACATATCTTCACATCTTGTTCTTCAATTAATCTTCCTTCCTACCATTGTAAACTGGAAATCAAAACACAAAACGTTAATATGATGCAAAAAATAATGAAAAAGCTTACGTAATAAATTCATACACGCTTAGATTGGGTCCAGAGTACATGAAAATACACACAAGCTTAATACCATTAAGACACCTATGTACACAGAAATGAATACTTAATTAAATGTGTTTGATTAATTTAGTTTTCAATTTAAAAAATATTATATTTTTCTATTTCTTATTGATAGGTACATGAGAGTGATGAAATATATGAGAGACAAAAAGAAGAAGTGAATTAACTGAAAAATAAAAATCATACATCTTTAGAAAAATTTTTCTTTATTTTTGAGAAAAATATGGTTATATGACTAAAAATTGAAAAACATTCTTACAAAAAGAAAATTGTCAATCAAACAATTCAAAATAAAAATTTGAATGAAATAATGACATATATCCCTTGTTTGATTTCCATTTAGGAGTAAAGAATCCATTTTAAATAGTAGATAGATGAAGAATATGTGGTTAAAAATTAAGAAAAATTTCGAATTAATGTTTAATATTATTCTATTAAAAAATATGGGATTGAAAAAGAGTTTTGAAAAATCGAATTTTTAGAAGAACCGGCTCGAACAAGGGCATAATATAAGGAAATATGAAGCAAATCACACATAGAACATGCGTGTCCTCTGTCCAATCCCTTAAATTCAAGTAAATTCGATTATCGTTTTTCCGCCGGTAGCGTATCTGACGAGGGCACACTCACCCGGAGAGAGTTGGGCATCACTGAAATCAATCTTCAGAAACATAGAATTACCCAAACCATGCCCGACGTTCCGCATGATCTGATCCGGCGGATCCAGATCTCGACCAGAAATGCAGCAGGACTATCCGGATTCGACCCCAAAGACCCGACACTTCCCGCCCTCCCGTCTCTCTCGGCGACCATCGCATCCCTTGAACCTTCCCCGCCATATCTACGCTGCAGCCACTGCAAAGGGGGGCTCCTAAGAGGCTTACAATCTTTCATTTGCGTCTACTGCGGCAATCCCCACCAAACCGACGTCGCTCCCGACCCGATTTGCTTTAATTCCACCATTGGGTATCAGTGGTTGCTCCAGTATCTCCAGCTCGATGGATCGGTATGATTGAATAATCACTTCTATTAATATTCTTTAGGTTACTGTATGTTTACAAGGTATAAAATTTGGGCAAGGTTCTACTTTTTGTTGTTCTTGTATTACATTTTTCCCTTGAACGTTTTGGGCACACGTTGGGTTAGGGGATACGATTGGAATGGATCGGATTAGGAGGAATATGATTAATGCGGTACACCCTGTTGGACTCGGTGATATGATGTGTGTATGCTGACATTTGAATCATATTTTACATATTTGTACTCTGCACCGTGTAACTATGACTGCTTTATTGTCATTATTTACCCTTTTTTCTGGTGCTTTACTGTCATTTTTGGTATATTTTCTGGCGGGGTTATGCAGATGCATGCTATGACACACATTTATATCTTAGATGGCTGTTCAAGTTTTTAAGGGTATGAGGGGAGTATCTTAACATATCCATGTTATTTATAATAGCGATTATGAAACATTAGGTAGAACAAAGAAAATATTTCTATGAAATGAACCCAAAAATGTGCTATTATTGTTTATGCTTGTACACGATGATACGTATATATAAATGCACAGTGTTACAGTGTATTATCAGAGTTGATCAAGGTAATTGATCAGCTGAAATCCACCTTACAGCCCAATTCATTGCACGGAATATTCTAGGCCTAGGTTGCATTGTTTTATTTGTTGCTTTTAATTTATTTCTCTCTCTCTTTCTTTCTTTCTTTTCTTTGGTGGGTTTTTGCTCAACAGATCACCTGCATTTTCTTTTAGTGTTGCTACTCTTGTTGTACACGTGTTGAGCACCGGTTTGACATATATTGGCTTGCATGATCTTTCCTTGTATTTTCTGGCTACACGCTTTTGGACTGTATTTCACACTGTGGTTATATAATCAAAAATATTCTCAGTTTTATTATCTGAGCCAAGCATATTTTGAAAATCCCCTAAATCTCTCCTTCTTCAAGTGAGAATAGCATGCATTTAGGTCAAAGAATAAGGAAATTGCAGGCCTGGGTTTAATTTTGATTAGTAAATGTTAATTGTGAAAAGATTGGTTGAAAGTTGTTTACTTGTTATGTATGCATTAGTGCTCATTTAATTTCTCTTGTTTGACAACATGGTAGTCAGTTCAGAGAATAGAGGTAGTAGATTGTTTCGTAATGAGAGAAACAACTCTGATGAACGAGTTACACTTTGAATAAATGATCTATTGATTTCTAACTTCTAGCTCCGGAAAAGGGAAGGGTGTGTGTGTGTGTGTGTGTAATGGATACTTCAGCTTAATATAAAGCATCTTTTTTTAAGCTTCTGTAATTGCTGTAAAAGTTCCCCGTTGTTAAAAATGTAGACATCAGAAAAGGACAGGTGGCATTTTTGTGTTTTGCCAATTTTATTGTTTGCCATGTTGAGCTCCCCTACCACCACTGGATAATTCGATCCTTTAAAACCTAGTTCTTGCAGACATTCAGAATGTATAATTTACTTGTCATAGCCCCACCCCAAAACCTATATGCCCAGCTGCACTGCCAAAGCAATGGACAAGGGTAATATTTGTGAACGATGCTAATTTTCTGAGATTTCATTTTAGTTTCATGAGCTCCAAAATAGAAAATTTATTATTATTGATGGCCTGCAGCGCAGGTTTCTAATATGTTTTAATTTTCTAATCCCCCAACCCACCCTGTTGTTGTGTCTATACAGATTTCAATATAAATAATATCATCAACTTGCAGGAACTGATTGGACCGCTGATAGAAAAAAGTGAGTCAAATCGAGCACAGGGTTCTTCTAAGGGAGAAATCCCCTTGTCTGATTCCTTAAATTATAGAATAACATGGCCAGCTGAGTCACAGAAGCAAGACGCTAATGTTTCAGACAAGAAGCTAGAACTGAGTGAACAAACTTTAAATTTAACTGGAGTTGATCTGGACAATTTTTTTTCTGAAACATACAGGGATGTTTCTGATAGATCTCTTGAACGGCCAATATTAAGCAACGAGCTCAAGACCTCACATTTAGAAGTTGCAGCTCCTGACAACCTAAATTTATTTCAGAATGTTCTGCCATCTGATCCAGCTGTTAATATTGATGCATTTTCTGGATGGGAGGCAGAGTTTCAGCCCACTGCTTCTGAAAACCAACATGGTGGTTCCAATACATCTGACCTTTTTGTAACTTCTTCTGTGAATTCTGAAAAGAAGTTCCAGGATGCCAAATCATTTGACCCTTTGGTTTCCGAGGTCGATCTTTCTGCCCACATGGAATCTTTGTTTGGACCTGGAACCAATCTAAATGATGAAAAGTTGAAAGATAATTCAGCAGAGTCTCCTGCATTTGGTGACTGGAATTCAAATGACCTGCAGAACAATGTGAGCTCTAATGAGTCCCAGCTAGCTGAGGGGTTCGATGCCTCTTTCAGGGCTAAGGATGATAATATATTAGAAAATTCGAACTATTCTTCTAATAATGTTGGCTTGTTTCAAGATAATCAATTGAAAACCTACCAAAAGGATGAACCTGAGAATACCATAGTAGGCAGAGATGATGATTCATTTGACGAGTGGGATGATTTTACAGGCTCAACTAGCACACAGGATCCTTCTAAGAATGCTTTGACCCAAAGTGATAGTCAAGTTTTTGCTTCTCTTGGAAAGCCTTCAGAGATAAACCTGTCGAGTTCAAACAGTAAATTTGAAGAAATGGATTTTGGCAGCATTTTACAACCTGATCTCTTTTCTGGCTCACCAAGCAATGCAAATTTTTCTACAAAAACAAACACTAAATTGCAAGAATTTCCTGCTTCAGAGAGGTAAGTATATACTTTACTGAAAAAGGTCGTTGATTTAGCTCATATTGTCAATTACTGGCTATCTGACCAGAATATGTGTTTCAATTACAAATTTGTCTCCTAATAATTATCATCCCTTTTTTGCATTGGATTATTCATACTGGCATCCATTTCTTCTCCATAGAGCCAAAGTGAGGTGTTTTAAATATCTCCTTGACAATATCATCCCTTTTTTGCATTGGATTATTCATACTGGCATGCATTTCTTCTCCATAGAGCCAAAGTGAGGTGTTTTAAATATCTCCTTGACAATATCATCCCTTTTTTGCATTGGATTATTCATACTGGCATGCATTTCTTCTCCATAGAGCCAAAGTGAGGTGTTTTAAATATCTCCTTGACAATAGAATTAGAGCACAGGTAATGGTATGTGTTAATGGAGGGAAGTAACATCTAAAATAATCTTCAAAGTGATGAAGCTGGAAAGATCCTTTTCAACTTTCTTGCTTAGAATCTAGATTAGAAAAGACATGACCACTCTTTCTGTTTGACCTCTTAAAAGTAATGGCTTCTGACAGTCATTTCTCTGCGTTCATATACCTACAAGATCAAGTTACAGAATGAAGAGAAGAAAATTATGTGGAGCTGAGGCAGGTAAGTCATGCAGAGCTTCCAAAGGAAGCTGTGGATAGGCACATGACCTTAAAAAAAGGAAAAAAGAGAAAAAAAAGAGGAAAAAAGAAGCTAAAATGATGATCTTTTTACTGTTCAGATTTTAAATTTTCACTGCAGGTCTGTCTTTTCAGCATCATGGAGCCTCTATCTCTTTTTTGAATTGCCTGCACTAGTCCACTGTACACTGCAATATTCTTTATCGCTTGTTCTTTCTTGCTAGTACTGAGAGGATGATGTGAGTAGAAGGGCGAGAAGTATTAGATATACTTTGATTTGATTCACTTTCTAATTTTTTTCTTTTAAAAGGTCTATGTTGCACTACAATGTCAAATTTATCCTTATTATTCGAAAAGGTCTTTGTCCACATCCTAGACTTCTCCCTTATATCATACCTCTGCCCCCCGCTCTGACTGCAAGCCACCAGCCTCAGCACCTTCAGCCACCAAACACCACAGGTCCCTGCATGGGCTTCCACAACTCAACCATAACCAGCAGGAATGGGAAAACAGCCGGGCAAAATTGAAGTGACAAAGAAAGCCAAATTAAAGCTCTGCTCGGTGCTCGGGAGCTTGGACGATCCTGAGCAGTTGGGGAAATGAGCGGAAGGGGTCCAAATAGTGGTATTGGTATTTGGTAGGTATTAGCTTGCCATATTTTCCCCCTCAAAATCTTGAGGGTAGTTTAATGGTCAGGTCTTGGGTTTGCTCCCTAATGTTCACCAGTTTGAGCTCTTTCAGGATCACTGAAGTGAGTACTCGATTGTAAGCTTCAGTGCCCCGTGGGATTAATCAAGGTCCTCGTAAACTGGCCCGGACACCCACAGTCATTAAAAAAAAAAAAAAAAAATTTCCCTCAAAAACTAATTGAATATGTAAAGGTTTTTGCACCAAAAAGTTTGTCCGTCTGTCAAAAAAAGTATAATGAAGTCATTCCATGGGTTGATTGCCTTTTGTGATTGTTGTTACTAACATTTATATTAAAGCTAGTCTTTTGCACAATAGAACACTTCTGCAGAAAATTAGACCTTAGCTTCTTTAACCGTTGTTAGCTAGATGCACTAGATTCAGTCTATTTTCAAAATTTTCATTTCTATTTTATTGGAATAAAATTTGTTTAGCCCCCGTTTAGCCCCCATTACATTAAATTACATTACATGTCATTTCTCTCTCTCCTATTTTTAATCACACAATCTTCCATAAAATAATATTACATGTAAATAGAAAATTTTTACTTTTTTTTAACCACTCATTTAAAAAAAAAAACCACTATTCCACCCATTTTTACTTCAAAAAAATGGGGGCCAAACGGGGGCTTAATGTTAAATGTCACCATTTGTTAATATTCTTGCAATATGTAGAAGAGGAAGATTTGATGTTTGTTTATCTTTTTGTTTATTGCCGGTTTCTAATTTAATTTTCCTGATAAAGAAAACATATAAACCGTGTCATGATAATGCAATAAAAAAAAATATTTATAATTGCTATTGAATATCTAGAGTAGCATTTTTCAGCCATAATAACCATTCTCATTCTTTCTCAAATCTCTACCATTTGCTTTGGCAATCTAGTCTGATCTTGTGTTATATGTCCTCTAGACCTTTTGCAGTTGAAAGTTGTATATTTGACGTTAATACTGTTATGTGCAAGTCTTACAAGTTTAGTTGTGAGTGCCAACAATAACTTGGAGGTTTAACTTAGTTTAATACAGAGAAGTCACATTTCTTTTAGTTGTACAGCCAAAAAAAAAAAAAAACCTGAATTAATTCAGGGTGAGATTTCTTAGTTTTAATATGGCATAAAAGTTTTCGCGATACTTGAAAAACATTGGACATTATTTTTTCATTTTAACACTTGAAATTAGTGGTCAGATTTTCTGTCATTCATTAGAAATAGTCCAAAAATAGTACTTCTGAATAGAAATGTCTGTTTCTGGAAAGATGACACTTTCTTGATGCCCATAAGGAAATGAGGTCAATCAATTCTCCATAAAGATATACTGCTAACAAACCTGTAGGAAAATGCACACGAGAGATTTCAATAAGTTTGCAAACATGTTAGAATTTTGAATATCTAGCGACATGTCATGTAACTGTGGAAATATATACTCTTAAAAATTTAAATTAACTGAATTCATAACTCTTCAGCCGCTCTTATATTGCTTGATAATATAATCCTTACTGTAGCATATTCGCTCCCATTATTCTTGGAAATAGAAATTGTTAGTTGCCTAGGAGAAAAGTATCTCCTGCAAACATATACATATATATGTGTGTATATATATACAAAAATGATCTCCTAAGCACCGGTGCTTAGCCTCTATATATATCAAAAAGTCTTTGCTTTATAACTTCTTGTAAGGGAATTGTAAACAATGACATGTTATCCATGCAGGTAATATCAGCATTAAAATAGCTTGCTACGAGCTTCATGGAAATGCTCAAATTAAAAAATGAGTAGGAAGTGAAGTCTGAGTGCAGAGTTCTGTTCACTTATTTTCTCTTGTTCGGCCAAGATGATACCTTTTTCCTTTGAATTTTTCTAACATATCGTGTTGAAAAGAGAAACCATGTTTATTTTTTTCATTCTTTATTTTTGATCAGTTAATATTATCCATGAATTTCATCTATTTTTCTTATTTTTCTCTCTTCCTTCTTTTAATTTTAGTCTTTCTCTTCGCATTTCCTTGATCATATCATCCAACTGTAGGTTAGTTGATACCAGCGGGCATTCTGATGGTGCTGCAAATAGTGAAGAGGTTTTTGGTAAATCTGCCACGCGAAATGATGACGTCACAATGTTGATTTCTCAGATGCATGATCTTTCCTTCATGCTCAAGAGTGATCTTTCTATCCCCTCCAAATCAGATAGCCATAATGCATCCCACCAAGATTGAAAAGATGTGTATTTGTCAAGCTCTAAATATCTCGTACCTTATTCTGGTATGCATTCTAGTCCTGAGACATTTTTAATTTTTTGTCCTATTGTTATCTTAGTTTAGTCTCTGGTTTCTTTCTGTGCATAGTTATAGTACAGCCTATTGGATAGTTATAGTACAGCCTATTGGATTGCTAAGCAAAATAAAACTCTGATTTATAGAGGCCGCCTTCATCCTTTTTGATTCTGCAAGTGAACCATGATTGTTTAGACCTCAGTATCTATTGATCTTCAATTACTGCTGCTTTTCTGTATGAAGCACAAATAACTTGCTGCTTTGACTAAGAAATACTTAAACAGGTATATTTTAGTGTCTTGGGAATTAGGGAAATGAGACCTCAGTACTGGTGTCGAAAAATAATAAATGAATCTATTGTTTAGTCCACTTGGACATTTGTTTGATTTCCCTGTTTGAGAAATACTCATAGCTGTCTTCACAAAAGAGGTCACACTCAAAATTTCAGGGTCCTTCATTTTCAACACATGGGGTAGCAATTTCAGCATAGTCCAGTGAGTGGGGAAAGATATCTTCCATTGCATAGCGATAAAGATCCTGGATAAAGAGGGGAGTCTCAATGCAGTTCTTGGAGCAGATTAATAAGTGGTTGAACAATTTTTGCTCCAGACTGATTTCAGTTTCTTGACATTCAGTCTTCAGGTCATGGACAATGATGGTAAAAGGTTGCAACGCCACTTCCAAACAGCTATTTCCGCACGCATGTTCTCAGGGGATGAATCCTGGTCTGAAGCATTTAGGGACTACTTTTACGTATTGCATATTCAGAACCTCATTGGACTTCTCAACCTGCCGAGAAACTTTGATTGGGAACTGCCTTCAATTTCAGTTGGAGTCTTAAAACTTAAGTTTTGCCAGGAAGAAGTTTAGGCCAATGCCAATAAATAGGGTACATAATGATTTTAGTCCTTGTTTGGTTTGGATAAAAGTTATATTTTCAGTAGATTTTGATAAAAGTTGGCGAAATGTGTGGTTGAAAAGTTAATAAAAATTATGCGCCCCATGACACGAGTGGTTGAAAATGAGATTAGAAAAAAAATGTTTTCAGAAATGTCGATCAAACAGGGCATTGGCATAATTTTATGTGCTATCTTTTTATTATCTCTTTTTAAGTCTCAGCAGTCGAAAAAGATTCCATTACCCTTATGAACGTGTTATATGCATGTTTAATATTAATGTGAGGAGTAATGCTATTCATAATTAGCAAATATACATATCCCTGATTGTATATATAAGCTCTCCTGTCGCGTTTGAATTTTTGCTTCGATTTTGTTCCATAATTGAAACAGAATGTTGCTCTGTGTGAAGTGTTTTAGTTTAATGTGTATATGTTTGTGGTGTGAAGTCGCCGAGGAAATGTAGCGAGGAGCTCTCCAACCTTCTATTTGTCGTAAGTGCTTCTCCAACTTTTGTAGCCGATGAGTCTTCAGTACACGGATTTTGTCTATTTGGAAACACATATTCGCTTACAAATCACTTGTTTTGTTTCGCATAAAAAAAAATTGACAAAAATATATATCAAAGTTCATTGATTAGTTTTAACTATACATTTTATGGAATTTATAACTTTTAATAAGTTCATTTAATCAATTTTTATCGAAATTTATTAAAATTCTGAATTTATTTATTTATTTTCTCTAAACCAAATAGGGGCTAGAAGTGATGGCACAAAGATTAGAAACAAATGCTTAAATTTGAAGCTGCCATCAAACTTTAACCCTTTTTCTAGAGAAGAGAATAAAGTAACAAAATGATCAATGTATATATTCTTAAATAATGGACGTTTCATGAGGTTCTTTAAATAATTAAATAAAATCTAATTTATATTCTTTTGTACAGAGACAATTTTAGCTTGGAAAAATCTACTTGTACATAATTATTGCACATAATGGTGTCTATAATGTGATGTGGTAATCATCCGATTGTTGATGCGTAAGTGTGATATTTGAATTAAAGGTTATATCCAGTGCCACGTATAATTATGGACACCATTATGTAGATAATTATGTACATGTAGCACTTCTCTTTTAACTTTACCTGCAGGATTAGTTTATTTACTTGTTCATGACCTCGTAGCACGATTTCTTAAAAATTCATACCAATTACGTTCTACTTTGACTTATTTAAATTTTTAGATGACGAGTCAATATAACATTAGACCATAAGAGATTCAAAGTTTAAATTTAACCACAAACACCCTAAATTTCAAATATGAAAGAGATTTCATCTCAACAGTTTGAAAATTGAGAATCAAGTTTTTTCCCCGTTCATATTTGCATATACCTTGTTAATCAGGAAATCACGTGGTTAAAATATTAACAAAGTACTACATTAAAATATTGCCAAACTGGCATATAATAGACATTTCGAATTTATTATCACGTCCTTTTTTACTATATAACTGCGATAAGAGTATCAAAATGAGTGGACTCTAGTTCATATTGACCAACCTAAATCCGAGCTCAATGGAGATCAGCTCAAAAATATAATATGGGCTTGATCTCACCGTCTTCAATATTTGTGAACCGAATTGGCACGTTGACCGTCTTGGTGGTATTTTCGTTTTTCGAAAATTATTGTTAACAAATTATACAAATAGAAATATTGGAAAGTAGAATTTATTCATTTTTAAAGAATAAATCACTATAGATGGCATATTTTACTAATGATGAAAAACTTAATATAATAAATAATTTGATTGCGAGTGATATGTATAGTACGTTCTCGTGGTATCAACGTGATCGTTAAGTGGGTATATCCCTCAACTTCAAAGAATTGTCAAATTGGACCATGTTAGAAAAATTGGGTGATTTGCGTTTAGGTACTTACAAATTAACATAATCAATTTATATATATCACAATAAAATAATTCAACGATAATATGAGTATACGAGAAGAAGAGTTAGAAATGCAAGTCTTGTGAGTCACGTCGAAAACGCTGTCCTAAAGTCGTGTTGTCTCCTCTTCATACGATACTTTCGACACTATACGACTTCAAGATAAAATCCATATAACTCACAGTTGGTTCTCCTTTTATGAGCACGATTATAGGAAGATAAATGAATGAACCCTTATCAAGTTGCCAAAAAAACTATATAAAATAATATATAAGTATAGAGAGTATTATTATGAAATTATCTTTTTCATGTTATGTTTAACTACATGAAGATCACACCATTTTATAGGGAGAAATTCAACCCCCCACATTCATGAAAATAAATCATATTTAAGTATAAGTTTCAATCTAAATTTGAGTTTCAAATTTATATTAAAATTTAGCCCTTGTTTGAGCCACATTATTTGAATGAAAATGCAATTTTTGAATAGTATATTGATGGGAAATGTGTGGTTGAAAAATAAAGAATATTATTTTATTAAAGAATGTGTGATTGAAATGATGTCAAATTACTGTTGAAAAAAGTATTTTTTTTCTTCCAAACAATGTGGCTCAAACAAAGTCTTAAATTGAAATTGAAAATTCAAATTACTTTTAATTTTGAAATTTAAAACTTACTAGAACTTAAGTTACAACAATCCCTCACAAATTTTAGACTTTCAAAGTATATATATCATATAGTGGTAACGTTATACTATGTAATATGTGTATATGTCTTTTGGATTTGAACCTCACTTAATGATTCCATTTTAGGAAGCCATGATGAACTAAGCTTTAAATTAGGCCCCCTTCGCCAAACTTCAATTGTTCCACACACGGTATCGATTTAGGCTCAGTTCATTGCGGATAGCGCTGTTAATGGTCATGCGCTCTAATCTTGATTTTAGTAAGAGTTTATAGGGAATAGCTATAAAAAAGAGTTAAAACGATGATATTTACTTACTTCTCGAATGAATTATGGTCTAAATTATTACATTTTGTGTTGAATATGTAAAATTCAATGACGGTATAAGGAATTGAAGGAAGAAGCAAAACTGGACAAAATTGGAGAAAAGGGCTAAGTTATAAGAGATCCAAAGTTCGGGGACTAAAGTGCAAATACTCCAAAGTTGTGTTGGACCTCATGATGAAGATTTAAGAGTGCTCGAAGTCAATTGGATGAAGAAAGATGTCAAAGGGATCAAATTGAGGAAAAATATGATCATAAATCAATTTCCAACCGAAAAGTTATGTTTTGAAATTTCAGTCTCACATTGAGACCCGTTTTTGACATAGCAAACAATCGAATTGGAGAATGATATCTGAAGCAAAGTTGTAATCCTTTGAGTTATCCTTCCAACGCATCTTGAATCACTTCAATTGGACATCATGAGAGAAAGTTATGCTAAATATACTAGAAGAGGTGTGTGCTGTCTATTCGAAAAGTGGTGTCGTGGAACCCTGAAGGGAGATTCAGAGAGGTGGCGCCGCGGCGCCATCCAATGGAGATGCTGTGCCACCACCTTTTTTTTTACGCAGCGCTGAATTCCAGGCGCCACGGCACCACCAATCCGTAACCTAAGTTGAATTTCGGCCCATTTTGGAATCCATATGAAAACCCTATTCTTCATATACGACAGGGGACCTATAAAAATACGAAAATTCTCACACTTTAAGGGGTTCTATACATTCTAGAGGCAAAAACACTTCTTGGGAGAAAGGGTGAGAGATTCAAAGGGAGAAGACAATGCCAAATTCATTGTGTGAAGCATAAATTGGAAGAAGGAGGAATTCTTGGTGCAAGATTCACTTTTTCTTCTACATACTCTTATTCAAAATTCGGTGATGTACTCTAAGACAATTTGTTGTTGCTCTTCCTTAATTATGCGTAGCTAAATCCATTGTTAGGGCTAATAACTAACCCATTTGAGATCCTTTATTAAGATTCTTGGTTTTTAATTCTTCCACGTGTTGATTTTTGCTATGGATTGATTGCATTAAATTATCTGATCAGTAATTTGATGAATTTTGTGAATCTTTTATGAATAGAGATGTGAGTTTAGGATTTAAACCATGTAGTAAAATTCAGTATATTGGTATAACAAGTAGAGACACATATGCCATTTATTGCGGTCATAATTGAATTTTTAGGACAAAGAAATCATTTAACTAAATTAAATTTGTATAGAGCTATGGAATTAATTAGTTAAATAGGTTCAATAAGAACTTGAGAAGGGTAAATTGAATACAATAGAAGAATTTGATTGAACACTATATTAAAATTGAGTCTTAATTTGAGATGTAAATGTGACCAATAGGTAAAATTATTCTGTCCTAACATCCTCTAATTATTTGATCTTGCAAACAATTGTGTGAGAATTTATTTATTGTCTAGAATTAAGATTTAAACTCAAATCACTATAACTTTTAATTTGTTTTCATTAAATAGTAGTTAAAGGAAAATTGAATTAAGTACTGGAAAATAGTTTATGTAGGATCGACAATCTGGACTCTTAGGTCCACTATTACTTGTTACGGTCCGTCCACTTGCGGGATAAAATTGACAACAATAGCTTAATCTCATAGCCACGACCTCATGACAACTCTTCCATAGGTGAGTCTTCTAAGGGTGTATGTGATCTACACCTCGCGAGAATTGTCGCTTCGGTACTCATTCAGGGTTAGACCCTTCCTAACATCACATTATTAGCACTATCACCATAAAGATGAGCACAAATAAAATAATGTCATTACAAGTTACACAGTGCGGGTTGTTTCTACCACATTGAACCTTATACATGTGATTTCCAATCACGAAGGTTATGTTACTCCCGGAGGTGGCTCTCTTATGGGCTTAAGCCCATCTTCCTCGATGATTTATGTATGTCCATCTCGAACTGCAAGTTATTTATGACCCTCTTAGACTATAATATGTTACCATCAATTTGCAAAGCTCTTATTCTTTGCATGCACTTCTACGTATCTGCAAAATCTTATAAGAAATTTTCAAAATATAATTAGATAAATACATGAAATTTTTAATATTGACTTTAGCTACACATTTGAGTATATGCATCCATTGAGCTCTTATATTTTACCCGCAATTCTTCATTTAATATTTAACACACTTCAAGAGCCAGTTTACAAAGAATAATAACATATAAGATTTTTTATGTGAAATTTTAAGCACTTCACATTTCAAATAGATTCAACTTGTGGAACTTCATTTTCATGGCCATAGTTTTTCGCCATGTCATCTATATGAATATGATATGAACATAGGAAACACATGCACTTTCTCTTGCCAAAATGTTCTAAATAAACATGCAGCAGCAAAATATTATTGTCAATCTTCTTACTTCTCCAAGATATGCTAGGAACTTAGGGATGTGCTAACAGATTTTCTTAAGTACACACTAGTACTAACAAAAGGATTACTTTGGGATCCAAATGCAATTATAAAGAAAATTTGTTAACTATATAATATGACCAACTGTTCAGATAACTACCAACATTGAGTATATAATAATAATAATAATAATAATAATAAAGTCCATTTGATAACCCCCATATTCAAGCCATCTATAATGTTCTTTATTGAAATCTATGAACTGTTATGTTTTCTCTTTTAATAGGATTAAACATGATGCACATGTTTATTTTAGTACCTGTAGAATGGACCAAATAATTGATTATATAAAGAATGCCTATGGAAATAGTTGCCCAATTTTGCATAGAAATATACACACTTCGTTGGTTATAAAATGTATAAATCACCATTACATAAATTCGACAGAAATATATAAAGTCGTATTTAGCAATATTAGTAACATTATAATTTAGATAAAATCTAATGATATCATACGATAAAAATCCCTAAAATTAAACCAATGGACTTAAGCTAAGAAACATACAAAACCTGGTGATCGAGAGTACATCGAATTATGAATAAGATAAACAATACCAATAAATCCAATTTACATTCTCATCACTTTTTGCCTTCTAGATTTAAGATATTTGCATTATTTCTTGGAGAAAAAAACATGCCATATAGAGAATTTCGCGAACTATAAAGTCTTAATTGACAATTAAATTTTCATTATATAAGTTTAAATTGTCAGTTAAATTTATTTATGATCTTTTAACTTTTTCATCTAAGCAAACATGCCCCTTATTATTATTATTATTATTATTATTATTATTATTATTATTATTATTATTATTATTATTATTATTATTATTATTATTATTATTATTTTATTTTATTTTATTTTTCAATTTTTTGGCAAATAAAGTTATCTTTCCAAGTCTAAATAGGGGTTAATAAAATCATTTTAGTTGCCAATTACCAATTTGACTCAAAAGAATAAAAGCTCATATTAAACATACATCAAAACAAAAGCACCAATTTTTCCAATTCATCCATTGGCCTAATTTCTTTTGACATTTTTACAAGTCACGTTCGGGAGGTTAAATTTTCACGTGTCTAAAATAGTTTAATCTCCTATTTCTATCTCAATACGTACACGTATTTTATAACACAAATTTTATTGCACAATACAAATACCCATATCATATTTTTAAATTACAGGTTAATTATAAATATAACAGTTAAATAGGTAGCGTGCTCTTTTCAAACAAAATATATTGACTCCCAAAATCACATTTTCTATGATTACAAGTAATCAAATAAGGTCTTAAAAGACATCATAAAAAGAACATATCATTTATTTAAATATTTTACATTGCCAAAATTCCTTAACCCTTTCTAAGCCTAATTTCTTAAGAAACCATGATGCACATTTCTTGTTTTCTAGGATTCATGTTTCTCGATTCTATACATACTTCATGATCAAACATCACACTTATGAAATCAATCACAATCTTATATTTATCAATATGCACTCATTTAGGTAAGTACTAATTTATACACATACACGTGCATACAACTATTTAGTATCTCCAAGTAAATTGAAATTATCTTACAAATTAATATGCATGCAAAAGTGAAGACAAAGGGGAGAAAATGATAATTAATTGGAGAAATAATTTTATCAAACCTAAAAAAAACAATGAAATTTCACATCCCTTTTATAATGTAAAAGTTTAACCCCACAATAATGAAAATTAATTCATCAAAAGAGGTTACATCTAACATAATGATATTTTAATTTTATATTAAATTTAAAATTGAATATAAACCTGAAAATTTTAAAAAAATATTAATTTAAAACTTATTAATATATATGTTACAACAATATCTTGTCATACCACCCACAACTAATCCATTTAAAAGATAAGTTACACTCCTTAATTAAGATTTTAAACTTTCTACTAAAATTGAAAATTAAAAATCAAAACTGAAAATTTAAGAAGGTTTTAATTTTGAAAGACTAGAACTTCATTTATATGTTACACATGGGGTGTAAATAAAATTATGCAGATTAGTTATGAAATTACACTCTTTTAAAATATTAATTCAGCACATTTTTCATAAATTATAGATATTCCTTCCATATAATGTTATTTATCATCCTCTACGTCTAGACAAGGTTGAGGAAAAATACCAATTTGTTTCAACATAGGTTTAAATTTCAGTCAATCGCATATTCTTTCACTGGATATCCAAAGGTCAAGAAAAAGGACAAGAACAATGCTACAACACGTTCTAGGACCATACAGAAATAAAATATTTGTAGAAATAGAAACATGAGGCAAAAGCAAAAAGCCCAAAAAAAAGGAAAAAGAAAAAAGGCAACATGTAGGGGAGAGAGCGGTGCAAAAATCCTCGTATCATCTCTCCTCGAATCAAAAATAAATATTTCATTGAGCTTTTGACCTACCATGTGAGCGCTCCGATCATGGCAAAGGTCAGCGAGACAAACCTAACAACCATTCTTTTTCTTACATATCGTCTCTTTTTGCTTCATTTTTTCACAATACTTTTATCTCATTTTCCAAATGAACATAAAACGAATCGTAAATATAGAGCTATTTAACACTTTAGAACCTTGTGTCCATGTAAATAGATAATTTTTATCATTCTGTGTGCATCATCAAACATCCTCATATCATTTTGGCCAAGAGCATTGATATGAATTGGTGCCCCTATTTGTGGCTAGAAAGCAAAATAGATACCATAAAGAGAGCATGAGCTACAACGATACCTTAATGAGAGCGTGAGCTACAACGACTTGTTAGCAAAACACGATTCTTAACCTTTACGCCTTGTTGAAGATATTGACCACAATATTGTAAGGATAGATATTATAATATGATATGTGTGCTACATTCCATCTTACGTGTGTACACAAAATAATAATTATCCAAACTAGTAAACATTTTAAAGATTATGCATATCTCTCAATATACATAATCACCAACACGACTTTAGATTATTGAAAAAATTGGGTGATTTGTGTTTAGATACTTACCGATCAACATAATCAATTTATATATCACAAAAAAATGATTCAATAATAATATTTGTATACGAGAAGAAGAGTTAGAAATGCAAGTCTTGGGAGTCACGTCGAAAACGCCATCCTAAAGTCGTGTTGCCTCCTCTTCATGCGGGTACTTTCAACACCACACGGCTCCAAGATAAAACACATATGACTCACAGTTGATTTTCCTTCTATGGGTACGACCATAAGAAGACAAGTGAATGAACCCTTATCAAGTTGTCAAAACTATAAAAAATAATATATAAGTATAGAGAGTATTATTATGAAATTATCTTTTCCATGTTATGTTTAATTACATGAAAATCACTCCTTCTTATAGGGAGAAATTCAACCCTCATATTTATGAATATAAATCATATTTAAGTATAAGTTACAATCTAAATTATAAGTTTCAAATTTATATTGAAAATTCAAATTTCTTTTTATTTTGAAATTTAAAACTTATTAAAACTTAAGTTACAGCAGACCACACCCAAAAAAAAAATAAAAAAATAAAAAAATAAAAAAAAAATTAAATAGGAAATTTGTTTTGATAGGGTTTGGCACCACATGTCTGTAATCAAGAATGTGATGGCTACCAGAAAAAGGGATAAATCAATGACATTCTTCCAAATGTGAAGGAAGTCTAATCCAAATGTAAGTAATATTGTTGATGTACGATGGAATCTCATAGAAGAATTAAGCTCCCTAAAAATATGAAATGTACATGTGACAATACTACATTTGACTGCTTTAATAGTATTTTTTATCCAAGTTTTAATAAAATCTTGTCAATCGACAATTTATCAAACAAATTGTCAAATAATTCTATACATGTAGCAGGATTACTCATATAAAGAACAAAATTGTTTATTTTTGCTATTTTAATAGAAACAACAAAAGGGTTAGGCCATTTGTACAGAATTTTAGTGTCTACTCTTTTGACAAGATCAGTGTTGACAGTTCTTGATTGGTACAAAAATTAGCATGCTTCTGTTTAAGGCTAACCACAGAATATGGCATGGCATTCTGTCACGTAAAGTATAGAATTTATCTGTACAAATAGCATGGTTACAACAAAATGTGAAGTGGGGCCATTTGCCACAATAAATAGGGTATCAAGCCCAGTTGTTGAAGTGTCAAGCGAAGGCGATGATATCCAATTGTTCTAGACTTTTCACGAAAACCTTCGTAATCAACAACAAACCCAGTTTACCCGTACACACAACCTTCTCTCATCTTCTTCAGGTTCGTGCAATGGCTTCTGAATCTGCTGCCGCCTCTTCAACATTCAAGAAAATCCAGATTCAGAGAGATGACACAGTAAGACTGACTCTGTTTTGCATGTCTTTTTCTCTATTATGTGTAACCGATTTCAATTGCACAAATTCGCCTCATTTAAAAAAAAAAAAAAAAAATTTCTTCCTGTTTTCTCAGTTGGGTGGATCGAGATGGTATTTTATATGTAAAAGACTGTAACGTTTTAGATTTTGATGGAAAGAAAAAGGAAATATTTTTCTTTTTAACGGGAAATTTGAATTATAATCAATTATATAAATCATGCATTTGAAATTTTGAATTTGCTTTTCTTTCTCAATTTATATTTTTCTTTATCTGGGGAATCTGTAAGCAGACTTTTGATGCCTATGTGATTGGGAAAGAGGATGCTCCTGGGATTGTTGTGCTTCAGGAATGGTGGGGTGTTGATTATGAGATCAAGAACCACGCACAGAAAATCTCTCAGTTTGAACCTGGCTATAAAGCGCTTATCCCTGAGTAAGATACTGCATATGAATGATCAAGCAGATTTGACTTGATTTTCATGCAAACTATTGAAAAATGTAGCTGGCATAGTTTGTTGGCATATGAGAATTGATGATTTATATTTTCTGATGTCTTCTTGTAAATTGTAGTTTGTACCGAGGAAAGGTTGGCTTGGATGTTGCAGAAGCACAACATTTGATGGATGGTCTTGATTGGCAAGGTGCTGTGAAGGATATTCAAGCCTCAGTTAACTGGCTCAAGGCAAATGGTTCTCAGAAGGTGAGTAATTCCATTTATCCAAAACTGGGATGTTCCTCTTATTCATGACAGAACTAACTGAAGGGAAATTAAAACCAGAAAGATAGTAATTGAAGGGTTGAAGTAAGAAACACTCCCTCTATGTGCATGTCTGACTTGCTCTTACGTGCTCGAATTATTCACGTATTTTGAAGAACTGCAAGTTAGACCCGGATTTTGGAAACTTGTTTTGATTTTGATATACTTGTTCTAGAAAATTTCTGTCATTCTTGTTTATATATTTGATCAGATAAAGTGAATGTTAAAACCAAAGGCTTAGATACTTTTTGCTGAATTATAGTTTTTGGGAATTTTGATGAACACATTTATACTTCTTGCTAAGCAAGTTTTCCAATTTTGGAACTTTGCCAAGCTGGAGAAAGTTTTTGTTCCACAAAGATAATTCAGAAGAGTGATTGTGTGAGTTTGGTAGATTATATTCTAAGTTGTGAGCATGAAAAATTTAACTCTTATAATTTGAAGTTCCACGGTATAGTTGAATAGCTTGAGTAGTCTAAAATAAAATTGAAGGAAAACAAACTATGATGGAGTTTGGGAAGTTGATGTATTTGCAGAATCTAAATCTTAAAGGGGAAGATATGATAGTGATGAAGAAAATGGCTCTTAGTTCTTAATTGGATGATGTACAAGAATACCCCCGTGTTGCATATGTACTCTAATTGGGACCATAAATTGGTCAACAGTAAAAGGATATTTGTAAATCATCTGAATCAGTTAAAAGATTGTTAGATAGTGTCCACACTGTGCATTTCGATTATAGAAATATTATAAGCTTGGGACATCCAGACTACAATCAGAATATTTAATATGTCTGTTTTGAACCTATAAACCCTTGTTCTGAAAATGCTCTATGGTTTTACATGCCTAAAATGAATTTAAACTTGTAATACTAATGTTTTCTATACCCTTACAATTCATGACTTCTAACTACAAAATTCTATGGTTTTAAATTTTTTGCTTTTTCTTGCATGAATTCAATGTTTTCCTGCTTAAATATAATGCTTCTGCGCTAATAGAGTTTTGGACATCTGACTCCTGGAATGGAACTTTGGAATGGAACTTTGAAATGGTACAAACCGTGACTTTAATGGATCTTCAACATTTTTGCAAACTATTTTTTGGACATCTGCAGTTTTTATTGAAGATCTGTCTGGATGTTTTTTTCTCCAAGCTTTAGAACGTTCTCAGCCATTTAATCTCTTCCTTGGTTTGAGAATTTTCAATCTGTAAATAATGCATGTTCCCCTCAATCATGCTGTATGAATGTAGATGTCACAGCGAGCTCATACATTCTCAGTGTAACAAGTTGCAGTTTATCATTATCTTTCTCCATCATAATGCTCATTTTAATCCCGATTTGACAACTTTTAAAAGCCTGAAAAAAGATTATGATATTTCTTCTTTACATAATATACATATATAACACAGAGACTCTTAGACAAAGTATTATAGGCTATCGGACGAGATATAAATCAGTGGGGCATGATGCCCTAAGAACTATACTGAAGGGGATAATCTCAGATATGTACATTTGGACAAGTATTCAACAAGAAACAAGAGATTGATATCGATTTCTAAAAACAAATGTGGAATACTAGTGATAGTTAGTGGCTTCTATGGCCCGGACGCCCATGGTCATTAAAAAAAAAAAAAAAAAAAAAAAACTTACATTTAAATCCAAAATAAATTTCATTCTTTTGAGCCAAGTGTTGTTATTTTTATATTAACTCAGCTTGGTTCTTGGGTGGTCGTCAGTATGAGTAGGTTATTTTACATGATTTGGTAGTTGAGAAAAATAATTGCCGTCTTATGTCGATATCAATCCTTTTTACTTCTACAGTAAACTCCGCTTTACTTTTAAAGGTGGTGTCATGAAGGGTGGTTTTCTGTTGCCGTACCCTTTGAATGTTTTACTATTTTGTCATGCATATGGAAATCCAACCTAACTCCAGCCTCCCTCCCATTTACTCCAATTATATGAAAACAACTTTGGAATCCGTGTATGCTTAGGCAAATGATTCATCATCAGTTTGGTAATTTGAAGATTGTAATGAAGAGCTTGTACACATATTTGGATCCTATTATAACCATTAAATGGTATTGAAGTACAAAAAGCGTAATTAATTAAACATCCTTGAATGAAAGTTGAGCAGATAATGTACATCATGGCAAGAACCTTCTAACCATGCATATTAACTTTCAAATGGTGGAAAAGAAGATGTTGGCACATTTTGTCTTAATTAATCTTTGTATATTTGCAACTGGAAGCATGCGATTGAATGTTGTCACATACTACCAGCATGCGATTGAATGTTGTCACATACTACCTGGTGGAACATGCATTAGCTTAAAAATGGCGATAAGAGAGAGCTGGCACATTTTCTTCTTTGGGATACATTTTGTGCATTTGTACTGTGTGAAGTATGCTGATGAATGTGATTTTAGCAATGTCAATCCTACTTTTTGTTCCATGGGATTCACAAGAAACTGAGGATGCAGTTTTTAACGGGTTCTTGATTCGCTGGATTGCTAGTGTGTTCATTGTATATTGATTACTATGGACTTTTGTATCCAGACGGCGAAAGCCTTGGAGGTGAAGCTGAAGGCATCAGGAGTTCCACATGAGGTGCATATTTATCCAGGACTTACGCATGCCTTTATGAACAAGTCCCCGGAAGGGCTGCAGAGAAGAAAAAGTATGGGACTGACCGATGAAGATGATGTTGCAGTCGAGTTAGCATGGACCCGCTTCCGTAACTGGATGAGTCGCTTCTTGTCTCCCTGAACTCTCCAGCTAATCGTGTTAGTTCTCAGCATGTGTTCTTATTTTGATACTGTTATAGAATAAGGTAGTATCTTGTCTCTATACATTGGTCAATCCGTGTTGTGTCCTTGCAAGTAGTACAAGGTTTTTTAGTACTTGTATCTGTTTATGGATGTGACTATGTGAGCACATGCTTATCGGCTACAGCGATGACATCTCTGTGTTTAAGACTGCATATTTACTTGCTTAATAGGTTTTCTATGGCTTTTCAAAGTTTTCTGCTCTACATTATCTAACTTGTAATCACTTGATCATCTAGAGGGTCCTTTTAAATGAATTTTATATTTAAGTTAAAGAAGCACCAGTTGCAATTGCGAAGAGTGAAGATGACCTGAATTTTTTGTCCTACTCCATAACCATTTAATGCAAATTCTCAGAAGAGTCACTCCAACGGGATACGGTTAAAAATCAAATTGACCAGTGTGCTTTCATCTTTGTGAATCTGTCACGATTATTTGAAAATTAACGACGAAATTGTGAATTTTTTAAATGATGTGGAGTGACACATGGAAACACGAAGTTAAAACTTAGAAGTAAAATGACTAATCAGAAATTTTTTTGAGTTGAGTTGAAAATAACTCTGGAAACAACTTCGAAAAGTAATTTTTTACCCTGTAGAAAATAGAGGAGCTTCTATAAGTTTTTGCCATCAACTATATTGCCAATGACACAAATTCAATAGTACAATGGCTTGCAGTCAAAGCAGCATCAAATTCACTGGTACTCAGATGGAAATGAAAATCATCAACTCAGCGAGTTGAATTGGATATAAGGCAGCTAAGATTTTACAAAAGTGATTCGATTTTATTTCCCATGAACCATAATGACATAGCTGACTTATAATTTATTAACTGTCTTGACAACAAAAAATCATTGAATGGAGCTACTTGCTTGCAGCCTGGACTGCATTTGCAGCCACACTTCTCGACTAAAACGGAGAAGCATCGCATAGCAAGACGCACTCTCTCTGTGTTATATATGACGAATATTTGTGTACTCGTGAATGAAACCTGTGATGGGAAGAAATGCATGTGCGCCTCAGAAAGCAGCTTTCCACAAGGCATTCTCACCTTCCCCACACCGTCGATGTACCTCCTTTATTCTATTGGCTGATCTGCATATACCACTGCAGCTCCAGTCGAACGAAGCAACGCAGATGTTTCCAGCTCGTGCCTTCCACTCGCAGTCTGCAATATAAGCAAAAGAGAAACAATTACATTGATATACATTTCTATGGGTACAAAGTGATATAACACTTGGTCGTTATATTTGTCGTTCTTTCCTTTTCCAGCCTCGTTTGGCCTTTCTTTCCAGTCTCAGCTTCCATTGAAGTCAAAATCTGTGATTTTAGTGTCATTTTATGCCACTATCTATAGCAGTAGATTTCAGGATGGTGACTTCTATGTTTCTTTATCACATAAATAATGACATTTTCTCAAAGTTGCTTAATTAATCATTAGCGTAGGCTTGCAAGAGTCATATAAGAACATAAACCTCCAAACTGGGCGGAAAGAGGAACAGCACCTCTATTTTACCATTGTATACATGAATAATGTTAGAGCACTCGTCTAGGTGACCACACTTGATAGGTTCAATTAAATGAATCATGTGATATTGCATTTAAGTGAATCCATCATTCAATGATATACAGTTGCTATCTAGACTGATGTGTGATATCAGGGGTGCTAAATAGTATTACTTTCTTAACATATAGTGAAAGTGAAAGATGCAGGTACGGATAACTAGTTAAATAATACACGGGTCAATAAGAAAAGTCGGTTAACAACCGATGTTTGAAGTGGGAAACAATACCTCACTAAGCTTGTACAAACTTCAGCAAAACCACCATTTCTTAATGCATTAAGAGAAGTCAACCAAATGTAGTCATCATGAATACCAATTGGTATGCTCATCCATTAATTGTATGCGCTTGTTAAGGCCAGGATTCCGAAATAATTCTCTAATAATATTTTTAGTTGTTCTCCATTTTAGGATTTCTTTATGATTTACTCAATAATTTTTTAGTTGCTAGTCAAAATATTTCCTAGTATGGATCAATCAAGTTTTTCATCTTTTAGGACTCTTTCTAGTCTTCTATAAACAAAACCATATCAATATTTTTAGACATCTCCAAATAGATACTAAAATTACATATTTTTACCATTAGATTAACTGTGAGACTATAATTTAGTTTATATCATTTGCAGTTTTTACAATTCCCATGCAATTTCAACTTTTATGGATAACATTACAGGACATGAAATTAGGGAAGAAAAATGCTTACCAGGTGGGGTTCCACAACACAGTCTGCGATCATCAATGTACTGCACATCAAGTCCAATGAACCATGATCCCAGAGAGACATCCTCATTAGCATACTTGTGCAGAACATGTCTATAAGAATTCAGAAAATCACTGTCACAAATAGTTACAGTATGTAATGCTCTTTAAATGTCAGGCGAGAATTGAAACATTACTTGTTTATAGAAATGTAGGAAGCCAATTCTTTTGAAATTGCATATAATTGTCCAGTAGCATGTCGGAAATACTTGTTCCCATTCTCTCCAAATTTCCAATATTCAGGTTCATGATATCTTACTCCCCTGTTCCATGTAATTCAAGAAATATGTAAGTGTATGCAGCTGGTTTGGAACATTTAGGCTACGTGAAAAAAGCTGGAGTTGGTTGGCGTACTTCTGAGCAAGGACAGGACCAGATTTCATGCACCCAATGTAGACCCTTGGCTTTTTCCGGTGTCTTATCAGTGTTTCCCCAAGTGTTGCTGCAAAAGAATAAAAATGAGAACTACAAAAATTGAAAATGTTCTCGAGCTATGATATGCCAAATGTACACAATTATATAAAATGCAAGCTGGAATCCTGAAAGAAATAACCCCATGCAGTCCTGCTAGTCATCGAATCTCAATAAAATATTGATAGAAAACTAATCCTCAAAGTAAGTTTCAGCAAGGTAATAAATTGATGTGGATCTGATTTAAACAATACCTAATGTACTTTGGTTTTCTAATGAAAGGCAGAAAACAAGTAAATATCAAATATTGACTATTATTACCCCAAAAAGGTAAAACTGTTATAAAGCCTTAGTTACCTATATTTACATGAACATCATCATCGACTTTAACATAGTACTCTGCATCCCATAAGGCAACAGCAGTAGCAAAATATGTCTTTGTCTTGGCAGACAACTCAAGGTAGCCCTCAACATGGTCCTGACATATGGAATTAATACAAATATCAGATTTTCCGTAAAGGCAATAACATCAGCATAAACTAACTATATAATGCAGTGAAATAGGAAATTTCTAGTAGAAGAATGAGAGATTAGGTATTACCAGCCGTAAGATGTCCCCATGCTTTTTGTCTTCAGCGGCAATAGCTCTATCTAGAATACCCCCTAATGTGGCACTGAGTAAGAGAAGATCGTATTAAAAAATTAACATGAGCCATATAGATGATAAAACAAACAACATAAACTCCTTTAGTTGCAAGGAAATGAAAATACATGTATACAAGACAAGTTTTTGTCAACAACGCGTTCAATAATCATTTGTGAAAATTAGTCCAAGAAATAGCTTGAATCAATATATATTACAAAGATAAGCAGCAAACAGCTTTGGAAAAACAATCGAAGAAATTGGGTATTATGCATTGTCTGGAGATTTCAGTTTAATATTTGTTTATATATTATTTCCCTCAAACATTAACCCACAAATATGTTTATTTGGGAAAAGGAGACTGGTTAAGAAAATTAGATCAAGCTGCCATACTGTGACCACAATTTTTATTAACTTTCCAGAGATACTTCTCCATCACCTTCCATTCTCGAAAACATGTATCCTTAGTATAACTGAAGTTTAGCACAACAACCTCCCTCTGACCCATAATTTCTACAATAACCACCCGGAATGGTTTCTTCCATTTCGTATTTTGTCCTTTTGTGTGGGTGTGATTTAAGTAAGAGAAAACCGGTATAACTTTCTGAAAAATAGGATGTCCAAAAGGGAATTATAGCAATAACATGAGGACTCAGGCACCAACTGAAAGCCGACATTCCGCTGTCTTCCCTCTGCAAGTTTTTCTCATTTGACAATTACACACCAAAATCAAGTTGAGTTTGAGACACGATGACGCAGGATGTGTGTGACTTGTTAATGAACAATTAGGAACAAAAAGAAACGGGATCAAGAAGAGAAGAATTGAGGGCAGGAGGAAAATCAATGTTTATTCATATATCAGAGTTGTCAATTACATTGAATAAGCCCCTCTATTTATAGGATAAGAAACTGAAAGAATATCAAATCAAATTAAATTCTACCTAATTTAGAATTTTATCAAAATAGCAACTCAAATCTAAATAATATTTATTTTGAATCAAACTTTATTTTGAAATTCTAATTAAAATCTATTGCTATCTTTATTCTTATCTATCTTGATCTCCATCACACGGACAACACGATTTGAGTGGGTATCGGTCTGATATTTCATTCAAGAACAGTTGATAACAGAATATGTACACTCCAATTGACATAGACAAAACAATGGTATGCAAGAAGAGAGTTTACTCATTATCATAGGCATTAAAATAGATGCCAGTCCCCACCTATGACCAATGACAAAGCGAACAATGATCCCTTTCTCTTCCTCCATCTTCCGTCGACTTTCTCCTGTTGTACATTTTTTAATAATAATCAGATATTGGTCCAGAAAAGAAACTTGACCACAACAGAATTATTTATGAGCTAGAACTAGGCAGAAGAAGCAAACAGTTTACATACCTCGTGGCACCCATGTAGAACGAACGGAATCTCTTCTTTTCCTGCTGCTAAATGCAGTATTTATTCCAATAACCATAAGATACTTCCGTTTCCTAAAAGAATCACCATTCTCAGCAGTTTCTGATACAGGAGACCCAGCAAGAATCGCCTCCTGTGCTGCCTTTGCTGCAGCTAACTCCATCTCCAAATTGGAAATTGTATTGTCCAATGTCCTATATCAAATGAATTGATCATATTAGAATTTCAGGGAAATCTACTTCATAGGAAATACATCAGTAAATCAGGATTCATAAACTCACTTTATAGCTTGATGAGTCTCGGCAACTTCCCCGAAGATTTCCCTAGGTACACTCTTCACATCTTTCTGGTGCAACTGAATGGGGCAAAAAATAAATAAATAAATAAATAAAATTTAATATATTTGGACCGACTATAGAAAATGAATTTACAAGAAGAAAGCGAGAGAGTAATCTGTTCATGCTGCAGTTCAGCATCCAGGCATTACTCCAAAGCGTTAGGATGGGAGAAAAATCTCACAAATTTCGGATCACAGCCTTCTGATACTAATTTCAGTTTTTGAGCTTCTGCTGCAGTTGTTCTTGTGATTTCTTTTGATTCAGGGACAGTCCAAATTCTGTTGTCAATTATTCTCATTAATTTGGGCCACTATAATCAAGAGCATAACAATCTGAACAGATATGAGACAAGCTGTCCTTCTAGATTGGAGATGTAGAGAAAAGACAAGAAACTGTATAACTAAACATAGATTGCAAGAAAATTCATGACTAGGTACAGAATACAAAACAGATTTTGCAGGCCAGATTTTTCTCCAAAGACCAAATCATTAAAAGGAAAAACTGGAATTTAGAGGCATGTAAACGTCTTACACTGGCAGCTACCACTGACATATATTAAGTAATGGACAGTATTCCCTTATGAGTGTTCCAGCCATTGGGATACAAACAAAAGACATATGAAACTAAACGGAGGAAAAATGAAAAAGACAAATTGCAGGATCTTTCTCAAATATGTGGACGATGTATTTCAACAGAAAATTATGGTCATGTTGTAGCTTAGAGACAAATACGTACAAGCAAGTTATGAATGAAAAAACCAATGTCCTCAACCATGATATTGAATCGAAATCAGTAGCTGCTTCATCATCGACTGGACAAATTTAAATAGCAGAGAAGTAAGCTAGATCTTATAAGAGAAACAGGAGAATCAGAGACAGAATTTTTGTTTTTTATTTCGTTATAGCCATCAATTTAAGCTTAAATTCTGCTAAGCATTTGCAGCTTCACTATATTTCATCAAAATAGAGGAGAAAAATCAGAATTCGAATCTTGGAATGAATTCAAACATTTGATTGATGTATCATTCGAAGAGTCTTTTCGCATTTATGAAATACTAACAAACATCCAATTCCAGAAACTCCAAAAAAGGCAATAAGTAATAAAAATAACTCACACATGTAAGCAAATATATTCAATTGAAATACAATACCGATTTGTGAGGAACAGTCCGGCACAGAAGCTAGCAAGGCAGAGAAACAGAGTCCATTCTTTAGATATGGTACTCCTTGAGACCTGCTCTCCTCCTCTGCTCTTCATGGAAAATTTAATGATACCAGCTTTTTCGTAGCTTAATCAACCTCTAAATTCTTAAAGAAAACCCATAAGCAAAAATGAAGAAAATCAACCAAATCAATAACACCCAGATAATGCAAATTCCCAGAATTTGAATCTATTTGGAACATGCGCTGTCAAAAGATCATTACGAGAAAACTAGAATGAAATTTTAGTGGCAAAAAATGTTCCTTGTTTGCCTTTGTTACTTATTCTTTCCTTTATTCTCTCTGTAGATGAGCACACTTTGCAGGGAAGGGACTTGAAACAAAAGTCATGGAAGACTGACTAACTGCCTCAGTTTTAATGCCAAATTTACCAAACCGTCCCTGCCAACAGACATGGGACTCCTCTCCTCTTCCCTCCCCCTCATAAATCCAAATTAGGCTCGTTTGAGCCACGTTGTTTAAAAAAAAAAAAAAAATACATTTTTAAACAACGATTTGACATTATTTTAATATACATTATTCAATAAAATAATATTACATACAAATTTAAAATTTGTCCTCATTTTTAACCATGAATTCTTCATCAATTTACTATTTCGAAATATATTCTTTCAAACTAATGTGGCTCAAACACACGCAACGTTAAAATGGTTTGGTTTAAGAATATAATAAAAAACTATTCAAATTGAATTGCGTTCGTTCAACTTTTAGTCTTTGTTTGAGCCTCATTCTTTCAAAATTTTATTTTTTCAAAGCTCATTTTCAATAACATATTTTTCAAAAATATTTTTTTACTTTATCATTGCATATTCTCCAAAAAATCTCTATTTAATAATACATTATTCTTCATAATGAGGCTCAAACAAGGACTTTAATAACGCGAGTTTAATTTTCTTTAGTTGAGTTATTAAATTTCAATTTAGCCCTTATTTAATTTTCATTATTTTTAAAATATATTTTTACTTCTCCTCTTTTCAATCACACATTTTCAATAGAATAATATTATATGCAAATTTCCAAAACTTTATTTATTTTTAACTACACATTCTCTATCAATCTACTATTTCAAAATACATTTTTAACCAAAAATGGGACTCAAACATTGACTTAGTGCTGTGCTAACGGCACTTGTATGATGCCATTTTTTGTTGATTTTGCCAAAAACCAATATAAAAGGGCCAAGTGTTCGCCTATGAAAATTCTATCAAGCATTTTCTGTGCACGTAGCATCACTCAAATTTTAACTGAATCTATCACCATTTCAAAATTGATGAAATAATATATTTAGTTAGCAGCCAGGATCTTCCATAATCAATGTGTGTCACTGAAAATGGAAATGGAAAAGAGAAAATGAAGATTATGATAATGTCTTTACTTCTTAGATTCAAAGGGTTTTTTTTCTTGACTTACACAATGCATTGATGAATTGACATGTCATCAATGATTATATAAAATCAAGGTGTGACTTGTAAACCAAGATATTTTCATCAATTTCGTAGACAGTAGGTAACTAAGAGTCCACTTAACATGTCGTTAACTTTTTGTAGAACTTTCTAAATAAGTTATTTCCTCTTAAAATTCTTTTTAATTAAACAAAATATTTTTAAAAAATTATTCAAATATGTTAAAATACATATTCTTACTTTCAAAAACAACTTTTGATTTGTTAAAAATCATACTAAACAGTACCAAGTGAAAATTTTGATACTAAACTGCCGATGAAATTTACCCCCACAACATTATAAATGCCTTTCGTAGTATGGTTTTTTGAGTAAATCCAAAAACAAATAATGTGTGTATATATATATATCTGTCACAAGAAAATGGGACTGTGGTATCTGAAAGCACTTTAATATTTAGAGGGCTCTGATATTAGAGGGTAAATTAGAGCGGACGTTTAACCTTTCACGTTGTGTGATTATGAGTTTTCACCTTTTAAGGTGAGATTTTGGATTCTTAATTTATTTGAATCAGTTAATTCTAGCCCTCGCATGACTAGAACCATTTAATGTTAAAAGTACACGTGACTTTCTGTTGAATTGAAGATTAATATGAAGTGATTTGACTGTTTTGCCTCCTATATGCTAGTCGTGTTAAAGTGGCATGCGAGTTTCATGTCTACATTAATGGTTGGTTAGGTAAGTACGCATATTCACATATTTAAAAAAGGTTGAACCCCAACCTTGAGGGTCCCCATCGTCCCGTCTCTAGAACTTTGTGAAGGAGGTAAATCGCGAGATGTGCTCCAACAGGTTAGGGAATAAAAGTTACCTGTACATTGTGCCTACAAAGAGACATATTCACATATTTAAATTGGTCGGGAGGTATGTTCTTCTTTTTTTTTTTTTTTGTTTATTTAAGTTGGGGATTTAAAATCACTCCACGAGAAAAGGTTGAGAAGTTCAAACCTTAATTTTTCCATATATAAATCACTTGGTATTTATTGTGTTCATGAAAATATTTTGAATGCATATTGGTACGATATTAGTTTTGTGAGAATGAAATGTGGGAGGGAGGCAATATTACCCTGTCATTATGACTTGTCTCATCTCTTGAATTTTGAATTTGATTACGTCGTGATTGGTTGATAGACCTTAGAAGGTGTTGATACGTTTAGTTGAAATTAGACAATGAAATTGAGGAAGCACATGATAGATTAATGGATCATCCCAATTTTTGGCTTAAATTTGTACTTGATTGGCCTCATATAGTTGTGAAAATCAAGATCAAATTTTAATACAGAGAGTCACTAATTATCATTTATCATCACGATGGTATATATTAAAAGTAATGAAACCATTAAAAGCTATAGAGTACCTCCATTTAGCTAAATCAATTATTATTACTGTTATTCGGTATTTTTTACCCGTTGAAAATCTTCTCAATGTGTGGAGCACATAATTGGTTTTCTTGCGTCAACTTCCATGCTAGTTTTGTGTAGGATTTAATGCGACTTTTCTCGTTGATGTGTGCTTGTTACAAGTGCACGACTGTCGCTTGTTCTTAAAAGGTCGATTTATAAAATTTAAGATATCTTTAATTTAATTAGTGAAGTGAGACAATGTATATAATTATTAAGCTTTTTATGTTATTTCCAATCATCTTCTAAGAAAAATAAACTTATTCTCTAACAATCAACTTTTATTTTTTATTTTTATCATCCATTTTATTGCTTTTCTTATTTTTAGAAATAGAGAAAAATGCAAAGAAAAAATGAGAAAGGTTTTTTCATCCTTTTAACATGAAAATTAGCAAATAGAATCTAAAGTTGGTTTTCTTCTCTCTCTCTCTCTCTCGAGACTGTCCAATGTTTCCAACCTATAATTAGGAAAATTTTAGACTAATGTTTACCAAAATTTAATTGCAAAATTTACCAAAGACGGCAAATTCTTCTACATGTTAAGAATTTTCCTTTTAAGAGATATCATTTTCTTTTAAGTAATTAAGGATGACAGGGTGGACAATTTTTGGGAGATGGGGTGGGAAAGGTGCTGGGATTAAGATATCCCCATTTATCACACAGTTTAATAATCTGTTTATTTAAAAATATAATATTTTATTTTTTAAGTACGACTTAAATTGAAAATCAGAAAAATAAAATAAAATTGAAATATTCGGGACGAATTTGGAGAATTCAAGACGAGCACCATGTTCTCCGACTCTATCCGTTTATGTGACAAAGTGAAATTTTTTGCTATCTCTATATTTAAACGCATTAGGTGACATGTTTTATTAAAATTGACCAAAAAAAGGTACAAATTTTGGAGGGAAAAAAACACCAAACTAGAAAACTTACCCTGTCAATATGGAAGATAAGGAAAACAAAAATCGACATATCATCCAACTATTGATCATCTTGTCATATGAAATATTTAGCAAGTTAGTTGTCATGCATCATGTATGCATAGTAGCCAATCTCATGGGAAAATACCCTAGATTGTCAATCTCCCCATGAACATAGTCGATCACATCATTTGTTAAAAGATAAATTTTATATCGAATAAAGACGAAAATATTCAACCAACATTTAAGGATTTTTTCTTAATGAGATTGATATTTTAAGATGATATTCTAAAATTAAGTCTTCATTTGAGCCTCATTTTTTTTTTTTTATCAAAATACATTCTTCAACAGTGATTTGACATCATTGCAATCACATTTTTCAGTAAAATAATATTACACGTAAATTCAAAACTTTTGTTTATTTTTTAACCACATATTCTCCATTATAACACTATTTCAAAATGCATTTTTTAAGAAAAATGGGGCTTAACTAACCCCTAATAAAATATTAGAGTTCATTAAATTCAAATGAATAATTCGATCGACTAAAACTCAAATTAACACAAAGGTTCAAAACTTAATGTTTGAGCTACAATACTGTCAAAGCATGATAAGGTATAATTCCAAGATAGAAAAGGTGTTGCTTCTGTTCTCGAGTAACTACGCTTTGTTTACAAAAGGAGCAGGCACTACATCTACGTGGTTTTAGCGGCACGAGATCTACCAACTAGGAGGCTCGATTTACGGTTGGGTTGGAGTTATGGCAGTAAATGGATAGGATATATATTGGATCTATCCAAATTCGATCAGATCCGTTAAAAATAATTATCCAATTCAATCCTATAATTCAACGGATATTTGATTTTTAAATTCATATCCGATTTGCTATGTTATTAGATATTTGATCCGATAACTCGATTCGAAATTGAAGACAATTAGAAAGATAACTTTTTTATATTAATTAACTTCTAAACCCTATAATTAAAAGGCTCTGATAGCTTTTTAGCTTTTATTGACCCACCTATTTATTTATAGATTGTAAGTTTTATGATATTTCAGTGAGTATCCCACGTGGGAAGTGAAAAGTTGGGAATAATGAAAGCAACTCTAACTGTTGGCTCCTTTGATTGTTTAATTTATAAAATAAATTAATTATTAATTTTATCTTATTTTAATTAATAAAAAATTAAATCTCTTCAAACATTTCAATTAACAATATTATACTATTATCTAATATTATCTATTATTTGAAAATTATGTGTAAAGTATAATACAAGTTTCAAAATGAAAAAAAAATTATGCATAATAAATTGTGAGATAATATATAAAATATATTATATATTATATCATTATAATAAATCAAATTGGATTGTTATCGGATCCGATTGACTTATATCTATATTTGCTTCATTTAGTTAACGGATTATCGAATTCGAATCTTGATCCGATTATCTAATTGAGACCCGTAAATCCGTTTACCATTAATTACATGGAATTCGGATCGACTTGTATTGCTTTAAAAATTGTCTCATATAAGTAAAATAGAAAGTTCATAAAAATTTCATCAAGATGACATGATAAAGAATGA